TTTTGAATGTGACTGGGAGTCATTCAGACAAGCCATATTTAAATTAATAAGATACATGTTACTTTAATCTTATCACTATCCTGACACGCTGCACTAGCGTAGTTTAGAAATAAAAATGGACAAATTTCACCGTTCATCTACCTCCGTTAAACAAACTATTACAGTGAGTGTTTGAATTTTAAAAATCTCTCCTGTAGCCTTTACACCTACCAAAAGGTTTGCGTTGCATAACTGCCTTCTGGATTTTCTAGATATCTAGTGAATACCTTTGAACATAGGGTCAGAGTTTTCGATTTGACACACAGCTCATGACAAAAATCACAACAATGGTGGAAAATGTTGAAGAGAGACAGAGCTCGTCAGTGTGTTTAACATCGCTGTGCTTAAAATCATTAAACATTTTACACAGTTCAACTTGGAAACCTGACAGACAGGGAAGTTTTAGCTCTGACAGACCGTCTAGTCAATTACACTTTTAAATCTTCTGGCTGTACCCAAGATATGCAGCGAGTGTATGAACAATGCCACTCGCATGGCCACTGATTCAAATATCAACCGCCCCGGCATGGATTATTTTCCTATAACAACACAACACTTCCCACTAGACTGGTACGTCACGGCAAGGAATATTCCTTTGGTTTTTAGTCATTCATATTACACATATGTATGTTACTGACATAATAAAATGTAAAATGCATAAAGAACAGTAGTTGTATATTACTAATGTGGAATTTGAAAAGAAAACGTGGGGTGATGAAGGCTTGGGGTCACAGAAAATTTATTATGCCTATTAGTTTCCTTTTCTCAAAAAGGTTTGGAAACCCCAGTGTAGACAATATTCACATTTCTACCAAATGCTAAAAAGAGCACGGCTGACATACCGTTGTCGAGTTGTTGGGGCTCTGTGCTGACTTGACTGAGCTTGTCGGCTCGACAGTCCCCGAGCAAACATAAGCAGACGATCCACAAAGCTGCCAGTTTGCTGAAATCCATAGCGAGACTTCTGGCTCGATCTGCGGAGGAGAAATGGTTAGACCGGATTAAATTTAAATGCCATTTCTGCCAAGCCACGTTGTCGGACAGTTGTTCTGGCATAAAACTGACTGACATTTTGCTACAAAAGTTCACTTTGCTACCAGACTGATTCAAGCTGGCTTCAACTGAACTAACCTCTCATTACTGAATGAGCCAAGTAAAGGTAAATAATCAGTGATGGGATGGTGTCAAGAGGTGGAGTTAAATATTTTCTTCTTTATTTATGAAAGAACGTGTACTTTTTTTAATCCATTTATAGACACATTTAATGCTGTGGAAGGTCTTAAATGATTGTCAGAAATGCTGTTGTAGAAAAGCAATCTTCTGAAAGGAGCGGAAGGAAACCTGGGCTTTATCCACCATGATTTTATTGGCTTACCAGAAGATTACAGACAAATGTGATTAGTACTGATGAATCGTGTAGAATCTGAATAAAGACTAGGCTTGTGAGATCATGTGTAATATGCCATCGTCCTACAAAGCCCTCTAACTATCGCCGATTGACGAGAGTATCGCCTGTGGCTTTGTGGGGGGAACAGAAGGAGGTGTGACCAGAGACGCGTGTCGTGTACACGGTACATCGTTACAGCGGAAAAATAATGGAAGCTGGTTACAAGTCAGTTGTAGCTGTAATTGCTATTATTAGCAATCAGCCACATTTTTAAAGCTTAAATAAGCTTAATTTAAAGGTCACAAACACTGAAGTCGTGACAGTAAATAAACTTAAGGAGTTATTAGCTGTAACTAAGTTTTATTAAAAATTTTTAACAAAATTATCTAATCTACATGAGCACGTGCTTGTGGTGAATACCAGTGGAGCTACTCTTTGAATTCTTGTATAGCGATGCTGCCCTGATAAACAACACTCTGTTTCGTTTTTTTTAATTTACATCTTTAAAGGATGTTTTGTTGCTCTGCTCTGAAGTCAGACAGCAGGTTATTAGGGTTTGTATAAGATTCAAAATAGGGGAAAAGGAAACACATTTGCATAATACAACATGATTTATTTTTGTTGATCTTAAAGCTGCAGACACATTTAATGTGTCCAACTCGATAGGCATCGCGACGGGTGGAATCTGTTGGAGATTCCCGAAACTATCGTCAATCGTCCCAAGCCTACTAAAGACATGAGATAACAAGAAAAAATGTCCACTTTAAGTTCAGGTTTACTTAAAGTTACACTTAAAATCCCAACTCTGTTGACGGTTAACATTTTAAGCCTGTGTGTGTATGAAATTATATGGCAGTATTTGTAAAAATCTATTAATCGAACTCGTCTATATTTACTCTCCAACAGACGTCGAATGGGTTTTCAATTTTACTCCAACACTATTCAGCTTGTCCAAAGTGTTTTTTTCTTAATAACGTAATGAGTTCGTTAGAAAATCGGGCAATTATTACGCTGAGGTCAGGTATTTTGTTCCTGCTTGTTGTGTTGGTAAAAGGAACAGTGTGTAATTACTAAATAAATAGCATTTTTAAATATTTAATATGCTGAGTATGTTATTCCACGATAGTGGTATCAATAAACTACTTTACATTTAGGTATAAGAGTGTTACATCTTTTAATGTTTGGACCCTAAGTTGGTTATTTTTCTCTGACAAAATGTTCCAAAATATTTTATTCCTCTCATACCACAGCAATATGCTAATTTACTTATTAAAGTACAACATGTATGTTTTATCCGTTTATAGTTACATTTAATGGTGTGGAAGGTCTGGAACTACTGTTAAGACTGCTGTTATAGGAAATTAATCAACATCTTTTAATCAGAATCATATCATGGCATTTAGGGCCTCGGTATAAAAAAGAAAATCAAGACTTCGAGAAAAAAGTCGCAAAATTTCAAGAATAAAGTCGCAATACTTCGAGAATAAAGTCGTAACATTTAAAGAATGAAGTCATATTTTTCGAGAATCAAGTCGTAACATTTCAAGAAAAAAAGTCCGAATATTTGGAGAATAAAGTTGTAATAAAATCGTGATCATATCATAAATATCGTGATATGATCTTTTTGTCAAATCGCCTACCTCTTCGTAAAACTGAAGTAATTACAAATTTTCTTCCCCCCAGAAACAACGTGATAGCAAAATTCTGCACTCAACTTTATATTTATAGAAAATATTTTCCCCCTCAAACAACTCTTAATTATTATTATTATTTTAATGCTTATGTAACATTATACCGCATATCCACCTGTGAGGTGATTAGGTGGCAAGCTAGCAAGGTTAGCTTAGCTATCTGTGCTGCTATTCCTTCAGTTCAAAGCTACTAATTCCTTTGGTGTCATTAGATAAACTTTGCGTCTTCTTTCTTTAAAAAATATATTACACATAAATGACAAGTCTTTTAGCTTATTGAGGTTTAATGATAAACACTGAAAACATTCAGAAACAGAAGCAAGGTATCACTCAGTGACATATCACGACATTTAACGTTAAGCTAGCCATGCTAGTAGAAAAACGCCATGACACAACGTTATGTTGCCAGATTGTGAGACTTTTATATTCTGCGTGCACAATTTAAATCATGTTGGATTGATTATAAATTTTCGTAAATGAATTGTAAAGTAATAGAGTTGCATTTTTGCACGATTTGGTGTGAAATTTATACATTTTAAACTGTGACTAGAATTTGTTTAAATCGCTTTAAACCGTGACAAGGAGGAATTTACTGCATTCAATCTGGCAACCCTGACCTTCACGAGCTAGCTCGCGATTTTAGCACCAACCGTCATTTTTTAAAATAACTGACAGTTAGTAAGTATACAGTAAATATTCATAGCAAGAAAAGCTAACAGATTTAAATGGATAAAATTACGCAGTTAGGCAGGTAGGTCGTATTAAAAACCGTGTCTTTTACGTTAACAAAGAGAAAAGAGTGACACTTTTAGATGAAATTGATAGCATTTGTATTAAAAAAATGTACAATAATAATAATAATAATAATAATAATAATAATAAGTGTGATACCTCAGATTTGCGTCGACTTTTTGAGATGTAAAAAATTCACAGGATCCTTTATGTCCTATTCCAGCTCCAGGGAGAGTCCTGACCGCAGCTCTCCATTGAGACACCCTGCAAACACAGCTGACAGCCTGGACGCTTGTTATAGTCACTAGAACCAGTCCTCCTGGTTGTTTAATTCAGAAATAAGAGATAAGATCAGCTTGTCGCTTGGTACAGCTCAGTGTAGTGGAGTGAGCTGTCTGTGCTCAGCTCTGCTCTGCTCAGCTCAGCTCGACCTGCATTGCAATGGATCAGTACGGAGTGCCTGTACACCAGCCAACAGAGGGCTACTGGGAAAAGCTTCTCACCAGCTAAACTCAGGAAATTACAACACAGACTTGTGCTAATCCTTTTAATAAATCCCTCAGACATCCAAATTTCAGCGTGCACTGAAAGACAGGCTGTAGCTGGCTGTGTATCTGTCCTCTTTCCCCCTCACACTCGCCCCCGCTTCCTCACTCCTCACTCCTCACTAGCACGCTTTTTTGAAAGACTGCAGACAGGGTTGCCAGATCTTTCATTACAAAATACTCAAATTAAACCATAAAAGCGGATCCTTACACCCTAAAAAATGTCATATTCAATTATTATTTATATATATTGCATAATAAATAATGTAGTGCGCTTTAAATGCTCAAGAAACTGGCAACAAAAGGCAAGAAACCTTTAGTCATTAATAGTGGTGTGTGGTTCGCGAATGAGTCGCTCCCTGAGTCGGCTCATCGAGTCGGCTCTTTCATTCGGCTCATCGAGTCGGCTCTTGTAGGTGAATCGAAGCCGACTCACATACTGTATATGAACAGCAGCAAGCGACAGGAAAACTGTTCATTTTCTAAGTGCATTAAAGAAACAGTGTCCAAAAGCGTCAGCCCAACAAGTGACTTCTGAACTCAGATTTTCTCAAACCTTTGCAAATTAGTGTCCAATGATTCATTGGCCCCAACCTATAACCTATGGCCCCAGTGGCCAATGAATAAGTCACTGGCCTCCTAAACCAGCAATTATGGGTTTAAGTCCCATCTGGGGTGAAGAGTTAGCAGTGTGGCACAGCAGAAGAGTGCTGGGCTTATAACCCAGAGGTCAATGGATCAAAACCAAACCTGTGGCACATGCGGTCCAAAGTTTCTTCAGTTTCCCATTCACAACTTTGATTATTACCTGCTATTAGTTTGCATTTGCGGTTTGGCTGGTGCGAAAATGGAATAAAAACATATAACCGTGGTTTCATCTCATCCTTTCATATCCATTAAATGTGTATAGAAACATTATGTAGAAAAATACCACTTCCTTAGAAGGAAGTAGCAGAAAACGCTGTGGCCTCCGTTAAGTATATGTCTACTGCTAGTATAGATAGCTTGCTTTGCTAATCTGCCAGCGAAGCTAGTACGAACAACCAATTTCCACACCGATTAGTGGATTTAATTTGTGTTAGCTTTAGAAGCTACTGTGTAAAAAAACACACTAGACAGGCCACGCTCACCAGCGGCAACAATAGCAGTCACTACACATCCACAAGAGACAAACCTTTAATGACACAATTAGCGATTAGACACCATTAGCGACTTTTCTATTGCTAGTGTGAATGCAGGTTAATAGTGATGTGTCATTCATAAATGAGTTCATAAACTCTTTGAATCTAGATATAAATAAGCCATTTTTTTTAGTCTTGTAGTGTAATCTACTCAAAATGTTTCACTTTTCAACATCTGTTGGAGTCTGTGTGTGTGTGTTTGGGGTCTGCTGCATTGCTGCATGCTAAAGATGTACTGTATGTGTTTGAGTATATTAGTAGATGGAAATCAATTTATTCATTTCCAGGATAAAGGTAAGTGCTTTATCCTGGTCAGAATCATGGTGGATCTGGAGTCTATCCCAGGTGCACTGTTCATGAGGCAGGAACAGGGCACCATGGACACATCTAGGGGCAGTTATCGTAGCCAGTCCATCTACTGGCATGTTTTTGGGAGGTGGGAGGAAACTAGAGAACCCGAAGGAAACCAGCACGGACACGGGGAGAAGATGTCAAACTCCACACAGGCAACGAGGATCCTGCAGCTGTGAGCTGGTTAGCGCTACCCGCTTCACTACACTCCTGACCAGGATGGAAATGAATCTTCTTAATGAAGCACAGACACAACAGCACAATAACACAATAGTGTTCACCTTGTAATCTTATTCAGCAATTACTTTAATACAAATAATGTTATTTTGTTGATTAGAGGCTTGTCATTATAAGTTGATGAAACAATTTCAGCCTCTGTCAGGCAAATAAGAACAATCATTTGAGAAAAAAATATATTGCAAACTTTTAATGGAAAAAAAAATGGTATTGATCTGTTTGGGAGCTGAAAGAGTCGACTCTATTGGTGAGCTGAGTCAAATGAACTGACTCACTGAAAAGATTCAGATTTCCAATCACTGCTCATTAAACTCGATGAATATGCAAACTGCAAACACCCTCATGTCCTCCTGCCACCCTAAACAACACAACATCATCAATGCCTGCTGCTTGTTCAAGCTTGTTTATTATTTATAAGAAAATCCTTTAGTGCATTCGATTTTAATTCATCTTAATCATAACCAGAGAACACATGTTTACAGTTTACATTAAGAAAAATGCTCACTTATTTCATTTGAAGAAGAAATAACTGATAATAATTAATGTACATAAACATCTAACATCAAACCTGCTGAAAAAAAGGAGAAAAAGAAGTTAAAAAGTGACACAATTATGCGTGAAATCTGTGGACCTGGCAACACTGACTGCAGTGAACGCTGTTATTCTATTCCCACCTGTATTTTAACAAATCCCGCCTCCTGCCTGTGATTGGCTAGTAACACTCGCTCTCTGCATCATGATTGGCTAGTCCTTTGTACTATCGCTGTCTAATTGGCAGACTGCTGATAAGTGTGAAGCGCTAACGCGAACCTCAGTGCGGAATAAGGGTGTTAAAAGAAAACTCCTGCACATCGTGTGTTGGACTGCAGGGGGAGTTTCAGTGTAAAAGCTGCCACACTGCCACCTAGTGTACAGGTGCTAAAATTACAACAGCTTTTTAAATACCTGCAAATGTTTCCTGATAAAGCATAATGAAGAAATACATTTTACTCAGTAACAGCTTTACTCAGTATGTACTTGGATAACATGGATCAGTCATGTACAATGTCCTGTAAATAACCAATATTTACCATTAGCTAGAATTTGTCTAGCATATTTAGGATACCTACTGCTACTCTAACCTGCCATTAGCAAAGAAAACAGCCTTAAGTTGTTAAATTAAAGCCAGTTAATGTTAAGAAATGTAAACAAGACAGCTCATTTTATATTTACACTTTACTGAGGTAGGGCCAGGGCGCTTATCCAGGGCGCTTATCCTCAAGTCCCACACTGCAGTCGTGTGGATTATCCATCTTCAGACGCACACTGATAGCTACAGTGCTAACTATATTGTGTAGCATGAGAAGGCCACAGCAGATAACGAGTTGACGTGATTATTGATAGTTTCTTTCTACATTGATGACTTCAGTAAGTGCAGGATCTCAATGATATAGCGTAGAGCCATTGGCTGGATGAGAGCAGAAGAGACCTTCAAGGTTTGTACTTTGAAGGTCTAAACAAAAATGCACAGAGTAAAAAGTAACTTTTTTAAGGAGATGTAATTAACAAATGTAAATAACACTTAAGTAAAGTATAAATACCCCAAAATAACAATTTAGTATAGTAACAAAGTACAGTTCCTCAAGTATTTTCAACTCTTCCATTTAGCATGTCATACATTTAACTCTTCAATAATCAATAACTCAGATATTCTTAAAGATATTGCCTTATATTATGAAAACATGAAAAAAATGATGCTTGTCTTGATTTTGTGTAACATTTTATGTCAAATATTATAATCACAAACAAAGCTTAAACAACTCCAGTCCAACATCTGGCATGTTTCCTTAAAGAAATAGATCACATAATTGATTTATATAAATAATTAAATAGAAAAAAAAAACCCAAAAACAAACAAACAAAAAAACCTTAATATTAAAAATATATGAAAACGTGCTTCCTGTTTTTTCCCCAGTGGTTTCCCTTTTGTATGCAAATGATCACTGTATGTTATACTGTATGTTCATTAAGTTCAGTTACTGTATGTTCATTATGTTTCAGTCTCCGCAGGGCACCATGCACACACACTCACACACTCATTCACACCCAGGGGCAATTTATCATAGCCAGTCCACCTAGTGGCCTGTTTTGGGAAGTGGAAGGAAGCTGGAGGATCAAGAGGAAACCCTCACAAACAACGGGGAGAACACATGAAACACCACGCAGACAGCAACCTGAGCTCAGGATTGAACCCAGGACCTATTATTATTATTATTATTATTATTATCATTATTATTATAGCATTGCCGCCTTGCATCCTGAGCTCGGTTACTGTCTGTGTGGAGTTTCTGTGCATGTTCTCCCCGTGTTCTCATGGATTTCCTCTGGGTTCCTCCCACTGTCCGAAAGCATGCAGGTAAACTGACTGGCTATGCTAAATTGTCCCTAAGTGTGAATGAATGTGTGTGTGTGTGTGTGCATAGTGTTCTGCGATAGACTGGCAATCCATCCAGGCTGAATTCTCCTGCCTTACACCCAGACCAACCCTGATCAGGGTAATACTGATTTAAACTAATATTTTTTTTTTTTTTTTCAAGAGAGAGAGAGAGAGAGAGAGAGAGAGAGAGAGAGAGAGAGAGAGAGAGACTGGTGAGAGAAAGACAGTGTATAGCTGCTGTAATATAACAGAAACTAACTTTTTCATGAACGTTCCACAACATGATATGTAACTATATATAAATGAGTCATTCTTTTCAAAATGGCAGAAGGGGAATAACAGCAGTCCTCACTCTCCTCACTATCAGCATTTCTCACTCTCATTATCACATACCTTTCCTATTAGATTCACTGTAGTTACTCAATAACGTACTTTCCATAAGGAATACATCACTCTGTCTCATGCTGTTACAGGAAAATAATCAACATTGAGGTGGTTTGATGACAGACTTACTGCTACCACCCAAAGCTGATAAGTTTCCTATAATAGCATGTCTCAGAGTAATTCATTCTTTACTTAAAGCACATTATTCAGTATCTACAGTGAATGTAATAGGAGAGGTGTGTGGTAATGAGAGTGAGGACTCATTACATGGTTAAAAGGAATGTGTATGACATTTTTAAGCACAACTTCTTTCTTTTTCTTCTGTATATCTTATCTTACTTTGCTGAAATATGTACAGGATGTGTACTAATAGCCTGAATATGACACAACAAATCAACTGGTACAGTACCCATCGCATTTGAACATGCTTTCACCCACAATAACTGAGGTCTTGCATTGATTCTCTGTGAGCTCTTTTAAACAGCAACACACACAAAGCCTTTGTGTTCTTTACCAACAAAGTGCACATTCTTCTTCCTCACACTATAAACATGTACACTAAAGTGCTCTACAGAAATCTCACAGTGTCTACAGTGTTTTATTGGCTAATTATTTTGCCCTAGTTATCTTTACACTAGTTATTTTGCAATCCTGTTACGCACATTAGGAGACCTAAAAAAAAGCTGCTTGTGCGACAGACTGCTTCCTCAAAATGACTGTGTTAGTCACCGCAATGTTTCTGTTTAGAAGACACAAGTGAATGTAGCTGACATGGCTGTATAGTGGTGTGGGTGTGAAGGACGACTTTAATGTTTGAGGATTAAATTCTGCACAGATAAAGCACAGTGCGCTATAGAGACAGGATCACCTTGCTCTGGGTATGTTAAAGCTCTCAACCATTAAATTTTAATATATATTTTTAAATTTTAGTTTCACATAGAGCTGAGACAAGACAATATCAGGACCAGGGTGGGAGGAAAAAGTTACTTTTAAGTTACAATTTATTACAGAAATATACTTATTGATTTTTTTATAGTCACTTATAAAATGTATGTTTTATGCTTTTGCGTCTAGTAAACGTTTTTGTTGGATGTTTCCTCCTTTCAATG